CTTTTCTTTTTTGGTTTTTTGAATCAGGGTCTCATCTATTCCAAACTAGCCTACAATTCTTATGTAGCTGTGGCTGGCCTGATTTCTCCTGCACCCACGTCACAAACACTAGGTTTTATGAACCATCATGTCAAACATATTTATTTTTAGTGTTTTATATTTTAAGCTTATGTATGGGCCTATGGGTTTTATATAAAGCAATATTCTATTTGATAACATGCCCCCATTTCATAGTCTTCATGCTTTCAAGATTGAAGAATAAAAATGAACTCCAATATGTGAACAAAACAACAATAGAATCATAGTGATGACAAATATTTCTGAGCTCTGTCAGATGCTGCACAGAACATTCATAGACATGGCCAACCTTTTGATATAGCAACACGCTATTGTCATTTACAAAGTTCACACTTATGAACCACACATTCAAATTACAAAAAAATAAGAAATAAAAAAGACCCAGTTTTAAAAAGATTGCCATTTTGGCCGGGTGTTGGTGGCACACGCCTTTAATCTCAGCACTCGGGAGGCAGAGGCAGGCGGATCTCTGTGAGTTCGAGGCCAGCCTGGTCTCCAAAGAGAGTGCCAGGATAGGCTCCAAAGCTACACAGAGAAACCCTGTCTCGCTTACATTCATAGCTGCCCTGGGGTGCATGCAGCATTCATATTATCCATGAAAACACTCCAAATCCTGAACTCTCAAAACTAAAATCACTCTGGTCCCAAGTTTTGGTTTTTTTTGGGTTTTTTTTAAGATTTTTTTATTTATTAAGTAAACACATGTATGCCTGCATGCTACAAGAGGGCACTAGATCTCATTATGGATGGTTGTGAGCCACCATGTGGTTGCTGGGAATTGAACTCAAGACCTCTGTAAAAACAGCCAGTGCTCTTAACCACTGAGCCATCTCTCCAACCCCTATTTTTGCTGTTTTGAGACAGGGTTTCTCTGTGCAGACCTAGCTGTCCTGAAACTCACTCTGTAAACCAGGCTGGCCTCAAACTCACAGAGATCCGCCTGTCTCTGACTCCAGAGATTAAAGGCGTGTGCCACCACTGCCTGGCCTTATATAGTTATTTTATAACAGGTTTTCATATTCACCTGTCAAACATGAGAACTCAAGCAATCCTCCTGCCTCAGCCTGCCAAGGGCTAGAGTACAGGTAGTATCACCAATGAAAGTCACTTAATAAGTTTTTTAACATCATATATTCTACATAATAATGTTTCATTATATTTTCATAAATGCACATAAGGTAGTTTGATCATATTCCCCTCCCCTTATACTTCCTTGCCCTTTTTTGTCTATTCTCAATGTGTTTCACTCCAGTTGATTACAGGGGTATAAGCAAGGGCTTATTTAGAGGAGCATGGACACCTTAGCAGGGGCCACACCACTGGAAAAGAAGTCTGTCTCCTCAGGACACCACTAACTGCCTGTAGATCCTCAAGGAGAGATGGAGCCCAAGAGCTCCTCTCCCCTGCTGCTGCTAACTGCCTATAAACCCTCAAGGGAGGTGGAGCCTGGGGAGACACACAGCCACCCTAACATGCACGTGTGCATACACACACACACACACACACACACACACACACACACACACACCTTCCAGACCTATCACCGCTCACGCACGCACCACACAGGTCTGACTTTGTTTTTATTAATGATTTGTTTTTGTGGTGCTAGGGATCAAATGTTGGTTCTCATGAATGCACCTTGCCTTAAATTTATGATACAAAGACTCCAAGGTTGTATTGTCAGGGAGCAGTGAAGCTATGTTTTTAACTGTGTGATCTGCATTGGAAAGCACTGCATTTCGATGTCATTTTTTTTCTGGCTTGACATACAGTATCTAAGCCTGGCCCATTGCAAGTGTTCTGTGTCATCCTGTGTGTATCTCAGGGTATTCACAGCATGTGTTCTGAGCAGGAGATCCTGCTGCAGTTCCTCTGAGGAGTGAGCTGTCTGTCTCCACTCTCAGCTGACAGTTTGAACAGGCTGGGTTAACTCCCTGGGACTTAATTTCTCCATCTATGAAATAAGAGCCCCAGACAGTTTTCTTGGAGGTCCTTTTTTACTCAGAAAGGATAAATAATCTTTTAAAAAGATGTTTCCCTCAGGGCATGGGATGTAGCTTTGTGGTAAAGTGATTGCCTAGCGTGCAGTGAGCCCTGGATTCTATCCCAGCACTAGGGGAAAAAATGGTAAGGGAGGAGGAATAGGAGGTGCCCACAACAACAACTCATTACTACTCTGGGAGAGGAGAATATTTACAAATGAAAGTAAGGCATGGTGTTCTAAACCTTTGATCCCAGAACTGGGGGCTAGGCAGAAAGATCCTAAACTGGAGGCTAGCCTGGGTAACACAGTGAAACCCTCTAAAAATAAAGAGGTTAACACATTTTGCATGTTGGCACAGGTCTATAATCCCAGAACTCAGGAAGAAGAGGCAAGAAGATGCAACAAGTTCCAGGCTAACTAGGGCTACACTGCCAGATTCTATTCCAAAAAATAAACAATAAAAGGCAAATAAGTCATGTGTATTTAATTCATTTTCATATTTCAAATGTTTTGTTGGCTCATTTTTTGTTTTTGTTTTTTTTTTGTTGCTGTTGTTCTGTTTTTGTTTTGTTTTTTTCTAGACAGGATTTTTCTGGGTAGCTTTGGAGGCTGTCCTGAAACTTACCTGTTCTGTAGACCAGGCTGGCCTCAAACCCCACAGCGACCCTCCTGTCTCTGCCTCCCGAGTGCTGGGATTAAAGGCGTGTGTCACCACTGCCTCTGCCACCACCACCACCACCACCCAGTTGTGGGTTTTGTTTTGTTTTGTTTTTGTTTTTGTTTTTTAAGATAGGGGGGTCTAACTATGTAGCCTTGACTGGCCTTGAGCTCACTTTGTAGACCAAGCTGATCTTGAACTAAAAAGATCCACCTGCCTCTGCCACTCAAGTGCTGGGATTAAAGGCGTGCGCCACCACACCTGGCCTTGGTTTTAAAAGCTGTAATGAAAAGAGTTGTCTATAAAGGTAGAATATACCGCAAAGCAGAAATGCCAACAGCCTAGTTTACCAGTTGTACATGAGAAAGTTAAAGCAACTCAACCTTTCCTAGATGTCTCTTTATCACAATGCTCCCTTATTTCCTTTAATTTTTAGAAAGTTGGAAGTAATACCTAAACGTGCTTCTGGACATTGGTGTTCAAATGGAGTTTTTGCTGAGAGTTTGAGTTACACAGAAACCATGGTTCGACTGACTCTGGATTTAATTGCCAAAAACAGCAATCTTAAACCCCGAAAAGAAGAAACCATCACACAGTGCCTGAAGAAAATAACGCACATAAATTTTTCAGACAGAAATATAGATTCAATTGTAAGAACTTTAAATTATTTTGTTTTTGCACAGTTAGCAATATAAACTTGATTGGTTTGAGGGCATGCCCAATATAATAATTCTATTTTAATTAAATTTGTTAGCTATATTTTTACTGGGAAGCTTTATATTATGTTCCTATTTTAATTTTCTTCTCTGGGTACTTAGCATATTAAGTTTATGTAAAATATAGCATTGTGTGTGTTTTACAAATATCTGTTAGACATATGTTGCTGTTTTCCTGGAATATGCTTGTTTTTGCACAGCCAACAGGATTTGGAAAACTATTGTTTTTGTACCACTCCAGAGCCTTGGAATACTTTTTAAGAATCAAAATGTTAAGGAATAAGCTAGGCACTCGCCTGTAACCCCAGTACTCCTGAGGCAGCAGGATATCAAGTTCAAAACCAGCCTGAGATATACAGTGAGACCTGTCTTGTGGCAGGGTTGGGGCAGGGGGGATTAAGAATTCAAAAATTCAACAGTGTATCCAAGGCCCTGTGTTTAATGCCAGTCATCCCTTCTCTCCAATAAAAGTTCAAAGGTGAAGTTTTTGCATACAATTTAATTATGTTAAAATATGTTATTCTGGTTTCTCTGTGTAGTCCTGGCTGTCCTGGTCCTCCTGCAAACCTGCCTCTGCTTCCCCAGTGCTGGGAGTAAAGGCATGCGACACAACAGCCTGGCTTGTTTTGTTCTTTTTTTTTTTTTTTTGAGACAGGGTCTCTCTATGTAGTCTTGGCTGTCCCGAAACTCCATTTGTATACCTGGCTGTCCTTGAACTCACAGAAATCCACCTGCCTTTGTCTCCCCTGTACTGGGATTAAAGATGTTTTGAAACTGTGTCTGGCTACTCATATAATTGCAATAGTGGGTCATAATGAACCCGTTTTCATTTTTATGAAGTCTGCAAGATATTACAAAGAAATGAAAGTTCAATAGCATTATCATAGTTATTTTTTTAATCCTCCCCCTTTTATTTGAGACAGGGTCTCACTCTCCTGCTCTCTAGCTTAGGGCTCACCATGTAGATCAGGTGGTCTTGAACTTATAGAGATCTACCTACTTCATCTTCTTCAGTGCTGAGTTCAAAGTTGTGTGTCTCCATACCTAACTTTAATCCATTACTCCTGACTATTGGAGGCTTTCCGTGGTATAAGCTGTAACAGTTTCATTCCAATCTGACAGAAAGATTAAGCCCTGATTTATAATGTTTGGACAATAATTTGTTCATTGTTTCAACTTCTAGGAGAGTCTAATTGCTTCCAAGGAAAATTGCTTAAGAAGTTCTTAAGAAATGAAATTTAATGGAAAAGTTACAGAATTCTAAAGCCCCAGATTCCTTTATGATTGTTACAGTCTTATTTTGAATGTGCTAAGTGCGGAGAGATGTTACTTTATAAGAGCCTTAGGGAGATTTGCAAAATGCCAAAGTGAACATTTTTCTTAAAACCCAAGTTCTTGAGCTTCCAGGGGAAAATAAATAGGACCTGTTTTGTTTTCTTTTCAGGATGACCTCTCTCTTTGCAAAAACCTGAGTGTTTTATATTTATA